GCAGCGATTACCACCGCTTGAGCTCTTCAAATTCACAGGAAAACCTATCGAGTGGCCTAAATTCATTGAGAGGTTTCGTGATCAAATTTACAACAAGACAACCCTCACCGACTCAGATAGAATGGCTTATTTATTCCAAAATCTTGACGGGGAAGCTAAGAAAGCAGTGGAAAGTCTAGGTGTTACAGGTCATAGTTATCCAACTGCTCTTAAGACTTTAAAACGTCAATTTGGGAACCCCAACAGTGTGGCCACAGCTTATCTGAATGGCATGCTCAACAGTGCCTATGTATCCTCAAATGATAGACAAGCATTACGTGACTACTATTACCAAGTGAAAGCATGTACGACATGGTGTGTAAAGATGGGTCAGTCAGCTATTCTTCAAACCCCAGAGTATCTCAGCAGGGCAACTATGAGGTTACCCATGAACCTCCGCGTAAGATGGTATGAATACATCGATGGACGCACTGATAGATCCACCCTGGTAGAGTTTGAGAAGTGGTTACGCAAGCGAGTAGAAACACTGTTTAACCCCCTTGAAGATTTCATATGCGAAGAATGGAACAAGAAACAAAGGTACCCCAAAGAAAAGCCAAATCTTAAGTTAAATTCCCTCGCCACGACAACAGGAAGTCCTCCTGACGCCCCGAGCAACAGCAGCGACTTGTCAGATTCCAAAGTAGCCCAAACCCAATCATTGAACAAAGAGCAGGAGAAAACCCCATCTAATGAGAAGGGGTGTGTCATCTGCAAGTACAAACACCCTGTTGCCTTTTGTCCTTTCTTTAAGTCTAAGCACCTACAAGAAAGGCGAAAAATTGCAAGGGAACATGGACTTTGTTTCAATTGTTTGAAAACGAACCACCAAGTCAAGAATTGCCCGAGTACAAAGCGTTGTCTTAAAGAACGGTGTGGGCGTTCCCACCACACCCTTTTACACGAGGATCTTCGAGTAGAGTCGCGTCCTAGCCTCACCAGCAACGAAAGTAGCTTTATCCAAACATCGGCTTCTCCAACGGAAAATGCTCGTAACCCAGAACCGGTGTCAAATTCGTTGCCCATCGTCCAGACCAACATCAACTAAGTCTGTTTTCAACCTCAGTGGAAGGTCCTCTTTCAAGTGCTCCCAGTTCGAATTCATAGTCAAGGGAACACGGTTGACACATATGCTGTGCTTGATCCTGGAAGTGACTCAACTCTGATTAGGAAAGACTTAGCTGAAAGCTTACAACTTGTTGGCGAGACATATCGCCTTAACATTAATACAGTTGGCAATCAAGCTACTACTCAGAACTTAGAAAGGGTAAGCTTTAGTCTTTCCTCTAAAGAACAGCCAGACCCGGTTATGGTGCATGGAGCTTGGGTCATCAAAAAACTCAACATTCCATCCTTCAAGTTGTCGAAGAAAAGGACCGTTGAGCAGTGAATCACTTATCTGACGTAGATCTTCCTGAACTCCAAGGTGGTGACGTGATGATTCTCATTGGAGCTGACATGGCTCACTTATTGATTCACCTTGAAGTCCGCCAGGGGCGACGGGATGAGCCCATCGCAGTAAAGACCCCTCTTGGAGGGACACTGTTTGGAAATGTGAATCAAGGACACTGTGAAACAATTAGTGCAAACTTTCTCGTATCAAATAGAGAGACTACATTGCAGCATCAAATCGAACGATTTTGGGAGATCGACTCATACGCGACCAAGCTCTCTCTCTCTGAGTCTACCTTGTCAGTTGAAGACAAATAAGCTCTGGCCATCCTTGAAAGCAACACAGTCAAGGAGGAAGGCCACTACAAAACAGCACTGTTATGGAAATGTGAACCAGTCTTGCCTAACAATTATGCTATGGCAGTTTCAAGACTTCATTCCACTGAGAAGAAACTCAAGAAAAACCCAGAGCTAGCAGAGAAATATCAGAATGTCATCAACGATTATGTCACTAAAGGACACGCCCAAAGGATGGCACAGGAAGAGGCCAAAGTGATAACCCCAAAAACATGGTGAGAGTTCGTGAAGAAGATAGAGACTCTTTGCGCTTCTTGTGGAGAGGCTTAGATGAAACGAAGAGACCAAGTGAATATAAGATGACTGTTCACGTGTTTGGCGCTGTGGATTCACCGTGTTGCGCAAACTATGCGTTGCAGAGAACTGCTCGTGATCAACAAGGGAAATTCAGCGAGGATGCCATCAACGCTGTTCGACGTAATTTCTATATGGATGACCTCCTAGCATCGANAATGGATTGCCTCAAGAAAGAGCCTTAGGCGTCAAGTGGTGTGCAGAGCAAGATCTGCTGAGTCTTGAACCAGCGAAGGGTGAATTCCCAAACACCAAGCGAGGAATATTGAGTGCCACGAGTAGCGTGTTTGATCCCCTAGGCCTTGCCGCGCCCTACGTAATAAAGGCGAAAATGATCATCCAAGAGTTGTGGAGACGCCAGATTGAGTGGGATAGCGAGCTGCCCAATGATATCCTCCAGAAGTGGCAAGGTTGGAGAGAAGGTTTGAAATCCTCTCAAACGATCATGATTCCCCGGTGGTATGACTTCCACCGCGACCGATGCCTAAAGGTACAACTACACGTGTTCTGCGACGCGTCAGAAGTCGCTTACGGAGCAGTTGCGTATTTCCGTGCGGTGACTCCTGCAGATGTCAGTGTGAGCTTTGTTTAAAGTAAATCTAGACTTGCGCCAATCAAAGCCTTGACCATTCCGCGTCTGGAGTTACAGGCTGCCGTTGTAGCCACTAAGCTGAGGTCTAAGATAGTGGAAGAAAGCGACTTTGAAATCGATGAAACGCATTTCTGGAGTGACTCCAGGATAGTGCTTCACTACCTTAGCAACACCCAGCGGAGATTTAGCACGTACGTGTCTCACAGAGTTGCTGAAATCGTCTCCAAATCGGACGTTAAGGTGTGGCATCACATTCCTGGAAAAATGAATGTGGCCGATGACTGTACGAGAGGGAAGGATATTCAGGAGTTGACTCCGAAATGTCCATGGATCAGTGGTCCAGAATTTCTAATGTTGCCTCAAGCAGAACGGCCGAGTACTAAGGAAGTACCAGTTGTGGATGAAATCGACTAGAATTTAAGGGCTCAGTCCTTGCGGTGTCCACTACTTCATCTATAAACATGGTGAAACAGAAGAAGTACTCCTCTTGGAGAAAGCTATGTCGGCAGTACGCTTGGTGGATGAGATACAAATTCATTCTGAGGTGTAAAGAAGATGAATTCGCCTCCAGAACGTCAAACCATGTGTTTGAGCGCCGCCGATCTCGAAGAAGCCTCGCTACCCTTGTGTAAACAAGCTCAAATTGAATCGTTTAAGGACGACTACGAGGACCTGCAAGCGAACCGAGCTCTCTCGTCTAACAGTCCACTTCTTCAAATCCAAATTCTGTCTAACTCCTAAAGCCTCGCTTTTTTTTCAAAATGTCGGCCAAACGCATCTAAAACGAAAAAGGACCGTATAAAATAATCCTCTTTTTCTATTTCTCTAGGAAGATATCCTACCATGAAATGATTATTTAAGATTCAGCGAGTATGAAAACACTGACTATATATTTTACAATGTCATCTTTTCAAGCAACACCACGCCTTTTCAATAAAACACCAGTTGTTTAGTGGCCTAATGAGATAATGAGAACGATGATTATGTTTACTTTTTTCGCTCTTTTACATGCTTTATTACGAAATTGCCCTCGTTCACTTTCAATTGCTGCGCTGAAATTGTAACCATAGACTATATTTATAGCTGGGTATAATTGATCATATTTAACAATATCGGTTTTCATTAAATTTTCAAAGCATTACCTCAGTCATTGTTGCCCACATGAGTGACCTTTTGTTCCATTAAGATACATTACGAAGGAGTAAGCCGATATTATCAGTCTTCATCGCGAAATTTTCAGGGACAACTACAACAGTCTTGGCCTTTTCCAGCTGAGGTAAGACGGCCTGAAGATATTTAGTTTACTTTTAAATCATTGATAATTTATGGCAGTTGCAAACCCTCGAATCGAAATTTTAGGATCCCAAGGGTGAAAATATCTCCTAATATTCCCGTTCTTTGGAGGTCAGATTTTAAATCTCGTGAGTTCTTAGCCTGTACGAACGTAGTATTAAACCTAGCTGAGACAAACTCGGGGCTCCTACACAATAAGGTCTTCTACTACTTACAGCCACTCAAGGATAAAGAGTTGAAATCTCGTATGTTAAAGAGGATCGAAAAATAAACTAACAAATCTTATTGATTTGATTTCACACCATAGAGTGTTAAAAACTTATTATTATAGACTCGGTATTCTTGCAGAAAAATAATTTGTGATTACATGAGTTTGTCTCTGTTTTTGCTTCAAGGTTGTCGCGATGCAGATAAAAGATGCGCATGTCATATTGTTTGTCCTGTTGGATTGGTTCCTCCAGAAGAGTGGTGAGTGCATTTGCATGTCGAGTGAAGAGCAGTTACAGCTCAAAAAAATTTTTTTGGAGCTAAAGTAATCCTTGACGCTGAAAGTATAGACTGCCTGATTGTTGACTGATTGTTTAACCGCCACCCAGTTAGCCCAATGGATAGTGCGCTGGACTGCTGTGCGGGAGGTCGAGGGCTCGAGTCCCGGCCGGACCAACACTCAAGGTCTTAAAATAACCTTTCTATAACATCAAGAAAATGTTAGACATCCTAGTCTTCTCGGATAGGGACAAATAAATGGAGGTCCCGTCTCCTGCAGGGTTAGGGGTAGGAGACGTTAATTCCCACGCACGAGATTACTGTGTGGTGGATGTCCTCCCCTGGGGGGGGATGGGTGGGTTTACTGGGCCCGCAGTAATTGGCGCAAGCTGTTGCGGTGTCCCTGCCTGTTGGCAATTCTAATAAACTTAAACTTAAAACTAATGACATTTATTTAGGTTCTGTTTGATGAGCGAAGCAAAATATTTAACCCTCACCCCTCCCCTCTTCAGCCTCACTTTTACCAGCGAACTGAGGCGGAAATCTGAAACGGAAGTGGGACTTCGCTTCCTGTTAAAACAGGGTTGTGGTTCGGCTGCTATGCTAGTCAGTCTCGTATCCAGGTTTTTTTTAAGTGTAGATAAACTTTTATCTTGGGTAAAGATACCTTGGAGTCGAGCTAGGGCAAGGATTGAGAGGATAAGCCTGCATGGCAGCAAACAATAGATCTATCTTTAAATTGTGAAGGAGTTCCCGAGTAAAGAGACTTTACCGCTGAGTCTGTCGCAGACAACAAACCAACTACTTAAATGATCAGGTTTTTCTATTTTCTCTGCTGGGAAATCTACTCCGGAAAAGCGACTTCAAAATTTTCTTTAGTGAAATATTTATTATCATATCTATTGAACTGCTAAGAAAGCCTCTCTTTCGATCTCCAGAAGTATCACAATGTATTGACCTTTCTTACCAATAAACAAATAAAGCACTTTCTTTGTTTCCACATGAAAATGCAGAGAAAATAATGTTATTTCATTTTCGACAGCTAGTAGACATCTTCTTGTGGCGTACTGGGGACAGAATAGCGCAGGAAACAAGTTTCCGAATAATCCTGAGAAGGAGCTGAAAGATGTCTGCGCTAAACGGAAGTACGACGTAATAGTGATTGGATTTGTGGTGACTTTCTTCGGCACAAACAACAAAGGTACGTGAAAAATCATGGAAGTCAAATATGGAAAAACATACTTCTACGGTCACTTTGTGCCAGCGACACGAGAACAAACAGTGGTAACTTTCGCGACGCAAGCATGTATAATAAGCTACTGATATAGATTCAAAACTTTTTAATACAGATAAGATGCCGGAGGTGAATTTTTCTCGTCATTGTTGGGAGCCTGCATCACCACAACACCCAAACCTTTACAGGTGTCCTAACATCGAAAAAGGTATTAAAGCTTGTCAGGAGATGGGAAAGAAAGTTTTGATATCGCTTGGAGGAGCAACAGGCCACAATGACCTGACAGATGAGCAAGCAAAAGTGCTGGCTAAAAATCTCTGGGATCTGTTCCTCGGAGGAAAAGAAAGATCTGTGATAAGGCCATTTGGGAGGTAAGAAAACAGTACTTCAAACTGAGAAACGAAACGTCCTCTGTGGGACCGATCATCTTTTATAGCCCCACTGGCTGTTAATTGGCAGTCAATTTTCTATAGTCATTCCCCTTTAAAATTTTTTAGGGAAGACTGATCCCCCTCTGTTCCCATTGAAAACCATGTGATCCTCCAAAAATTAACGGCTCCTCTCCCTCCCCCCCCTCCCATGGCTGGTCCTTGATCTCACTATTATTTCTTCCAAAGCGCAATTCTCGACGGTATCGACCTGGACATCGAGGACGCCATGTCAGGTGGCTATGCCCAGCTGGTAAAGAGTCTTCGAGATCTAGAAGACGGCACAAAGAAGTATCTAATTACTGGTGCTCCTCAGTGTCCATATCCTGATGCATCTCTTGGCCCCTCCCCAGGGACTGCCCTGGGTGATCAGGGAGCCCAGTTTGATCACGTGTACGTACAGTTCTATAACAACTTCTGCCACACCGGTGACAAAGCACAATTCTATCCAAATGTGGACAAGTGGCTGCAGTATGCATCCTCTGCTACTACCCGAGCAATTGTTCTGAAAAAAAGAGCGGAGGTGTTCGGGCCCAAAATATTCGTGGGGATACCGTCTGCAACAGGAGGTGCAGGAGATCCCAAGTTTTACCGAACCCCCCAGGAAGTGGCAGCGATCTATGAGGTATTTGCTCTGGGCGTTAAACAAACAAAAATTGTAAAGGAGAAAAGTACT